CACCTGGAGGCTCACCTGAAGGCTCACCTGGAGGCTCACCTGGAGGCTTACCTGGAAGCAAACCTGGAGGCCCTGCTGGAGGCTCACCTGGAGGCCCTGCTGGAGGCTCGCCTGGACTCGCACCCGGAGGTGGCACCTCGCGCGTGATGTACGCGTGCTAATTAGGCGCTATCGTACGGCGCACGGCGCCACGCCAATCCTTTCAGCCCTTTCTCAGTCTAATTACTGTTCGGCCCTCGCCGGCCCACTGTCAGCCCGACGCCCTCCCCCCTGCCTCCCCCCATGCCTCCCTCCACCCTTCTATCCCGCCCCTCCTCACCCCGCCCTTTCTCCACCTCCTCCCTGAGCTCATCGCTTATGCAGGCGCACGGAAAGCCTGCTGGTGTTCCCGGCAATCGCCATGCCATCGCCCCCGCCCTCGCGCCGAGCCCTCGTGGAGCCCCTGGCGGAGCCCCCGCTGCCGCCCTCGTCACTCCTGTCCCGGAGTCTTGCCAAAACTCCGGCGGCGTGCTGCTGCTCCTGGAGGCCCGGTGCCGCTGGAGGCCCGCCCGCTCAGACCCTTTCGCTATCCTCCAGAACCCTTACGATAACAGTTTCCAGCGCGAGGTGGCTGTTCGCTGTTCTCGCGATACGTTTCTGGCCGACCCTTTCTCTCGTGGCCCGTGCCGTTCTGAATCTCGAAATAAACGTGACGCCTCCTTACTCTGCGCTTCCTGTTTGGAAAAGCCAAAGCAGAAGAAAATTAGGTTCGCAAATTCGGTTGTAGCTCATTTACATGCTAATGATCGAGTTGGTTTTTTGTTTTATTTATTTACGCTCTCTGCCTGCACCCCTGCTTTCTTCGGAGAAGGGGGGGGGGGTGCATAAAAAGTAATAAAAACAGCAATAATATCATCAAGAAGTTCGAAGGAAGCAACCAACAAATGAGGCGGTTGTGAAACGGAGCTCCGTGCACGGCCCCGGCGCGGCTGGGCACGAACCGCCCGAGGCCACGACTCACTGATTCACGCCGAAGGAGAAAACTCCCCCTAAGCGTGACCTGTGCGGGGTAGGGCCAGGGGGAACGGCCATGGGCCCGCCGGGAAGTCGAGGTGGAGGCGGGGAGAAACTTCTTCTTCCTGCTGCCCGTCACGTGGTATAGTATGTGTTTATGTATATGCAAGATGGTGAGAGAGGGGAAGTTGGTGGAGGAGGAGGGAGGGG